CAGGGTTTCCCCCGGTGTATCAGCTGGGCTTTCAGTCTGGACCGTAAGACCCAAACATGTGTGCGATGTCCTGTCGGCTCACCAAAGCTTATGCATTTGTGTTGCCTACAACTCAGGAGCTAGTGTGTTTCTACGAATACTGCTTTGGCAATCGTCTTTAATTTTTTGTGAAATCTGATGTAGCTGTTGTAAGGCAAGTGCACCGTGAGCTGGACGAACTGTGGGAGGATGGATGCTCTTACCTGCCGTGCTTTTGTACATTAACAGACCTCAGCGCTGTCGTGCAGCGACAGCAGTTACGCTGCACAAACCCCAGAGATGTTAGAGATTTCAAGAGGGGAGAACACCTGTAGGTTATTTCCTTTTTTTATAAATTACTTCACTTGAGGTAAAGAAAAGCATTGGTCTAAAACAGACTTTCAAATACAGCAGTCGTTTACTTGCTGTGTCAGCAATATGTCTGAAAGAAAAGGCATGCTCCGTAACCTACATTTCAAAGGTCACAGTGCTACTGCTCCAGGCTTCTGCAAATTGCAGTTCGAGCCAGCATCATGGCTGGTTTGAAGATTTGGTCTGTTTTTCTGGTTATACTATACCATTTCTGTCAAAGATGTACCCCAAGTGGAATTTCAACACATGTTGAAATAGGTAAGACTTGTTCAGAATGAATTTTCGTGTCTTTTGAATTGTTTGGGAAGGGAAGTAAATTCAGATTCAGTTGGAAAGCAAAGGGAGGAAATAAAGTAATGAGCATTCTACATCATTTAAAAAAAATGAATAACATGTAGTATAGATGAGTAGTTTGGGTTTGGATTTTGAAACTTTACTGGTTTTATAAGCAAAATGCTTGAATCGATTTGGTTGCGTATTTTTCCGTCTTCTAAAACACAGGCATTATGTAACTGGAATGTTTGTGTCTGTGGGTCTTAGGCAGGCAGGGTTTGGTTTGGAGAAAGAAGAGGAATACTTTACGCAATTTTTGGGATTGTTATGTTTAAACTAGAGAATAACACAGATCGTTTGCAGTAGCTCTGTTTTCAAATCACTATGTATTAATTTTGCCATACCTGCATAAAACAGATAAAATGCTTTAATGTGTTTCTATCTATGACAAATATCATGAAAATTTTGTTCTGTGTCTCTTTCTGGTAGGTTGCTATCTGTAGCCTGAACAGCCTAGATTTGTAGAGAATGAAGGAGAGAACAGAGTGAACATCAAAGTGGGGAAATATTTCTGGGTTTAATTTCTTGTTTGCATGTGTTATTTTTAAAATCTGGTTTCCGCTGTAGTTCTTGCAAGAACACTCATGAGTAGTGTGAGGTTATTCTGAAATGTTAACTTATAATAAATTGACAGTTTTAATTGTTCTTCTGTTTCTGAGTCTAAATCCATTGCTCAAACAGATAGTAAAACATATGATGTTGTCTCTATTCACATAATCTCACACTTTAAGTACTGAATACATGCAACTTTGAACATGTTAAAGGCTGGGACTATTCATGGCATTCATTTGAGACTGAGCGCATGTTCCCTTGCTGTTACACCCTTGGTCAGCATCCTGCAACCATTCGCTTTTCCTAATGATATGTCAAGAAACCCACAGTAATCAGTAGGAGAAGTCACACTGGTTAGGCAAGTGCATACGTCTTTGCAAGCTTGGGGCTCTAATTACTGAGTATGAGCTTCTGAAAACTATAAATAGCAGGTTTGGCAGAATAGAGTATATTTGCAAGAAGTCTATGAAGAGAAAGAAGAGCTTATGGATCGGTCCCAAAGCAGTTGTTTTTTTTTTTTTTTCTAATCAAGGAAGCATATTGCAAAAAACCTGCATTTATATAATTTAAAGATCTTGGTTGTCCGAGGAATAGTGTGTACACTGAACTATTGGCTCATAGTTTGCAACAAATTTTGTCCATTTGTCTGAAAATGACATTAAACTGCGTTCAGCTCTGATGTTGCTAAAATCAGTGCTTTTACTAATGTGCAAAAAAAGTCCATGATGATAGGATACTGAAAGTCATTGCCAAATCCAAACACTGAGTATTCCAGGAAGAAAAAAACCCAAACTGTAGAAAGGAGATCCGACTCAAAACCAGCACCAACGTCTGTTCTGGGCAGACTTCTGAAAGTACTTTTTAAATGGCGAAAAGCCCTGCCTGTTCAAAATGTTGATCATGTTCGGCGTGCTCGGCAGAGCTGTGCTGTGTCCTACTTGCCGCAGCCTTGTTGCTGGAGGCAGGTCTGAGTGGGGAGGCTCTTCCCCGCCTCAGGGGCTCCTGTCAAACTCGTGGGGCTCTGTGGAACTGTGGGGATCCATTACGAACTTCGTTGTAAAGGTGAACTTCTAGGACCTGGGTCCATATGAGTAATGAAAGAAGTCAGGGGGGACGGGGGACGGGAAAAGCAAACTGCCAAAGTGAGAGTCTCTCGCACTGGAAGTAGAGATGTGCGTTGAAACGGCTGAGCCTTAAAATGATAGACTTTTTTTATTATTATTTTTAAGTTATTCCTGTGCAAGATTGGTCCTTTTAGGTATCTTAGCATATTTGTATAAGGATGGTTTAGATCAGTGGGTAAAATTCAAAGTGAAAGGTTATTCAAACTCACACAGTTTTGTCTAGATCCTATTCCAGAATGAGAATGGGATTTTTTTTGTGATGTGATTTATTTGATAAGGATCAATTTAAACTCAGCATATTCTGGGTTATCTTTATCAGTCTTAGTGTGTAAATAGCTTTAAGTGAGGAGCAGAACTTTGTGTGGGAAGGCGAGATGATAATCCGTGTTTGCAGTTTCAGTCGAGTAATTTTAGAGGCAATGTTGGGTATTTTTAGAATATTGTTAATAGATTATCCCTGGGATCTAACATTCATTAGAAGATGACTTCATTAAAGAAAAGTGATGTCGGTTTGTTTCATTCTCATGTTACTTTTGCTCAGTACATATTTTGGCATCAAGAATGTCTGCCTATTCAGTGAACAAATAGTATTATTTACCTTGCTGACTCTAGATTTTTGTTGGTTTTCATACATATTAAAAATTAATCAAACTGGTAAACACCTGCATTGATTCCAGAGGTACCTTTTTCAATGTTAAGGGCAACAGTGAAACTGAAATACAATTCACGTGGGTCCTTTACAGCTAGAATTTTATGATCCGTACTCCTCCATACATGCTGGGTGTGATCCATGTCAGTTCGCTGCTGTAGCTCAATTCTGGACACAAGGAGCTCCTTTTCCCTGCGATTAAGCACTTTCGGCTTTGTTGGTCAGCTTGGGGGACTGGGGACTTGAGAGAGACTGATGAGACCTCAGTGTCCAGATATGCCACAGAAACAGCATTTCCTTATTAGCTCCCTAGGTGAGAAAACACACCCCTTCACACATACAGCATTTTCTGAGAAAGCATGTTTCATGCACCTGTGCCACTTGGCTTAGATATGACGATGCGGTGTATTCTGGTTTTGATAATGCTTCTAACAAAACATGGGCCTGGCCACAGTACCTATAAATCAATATGTTGTTTTTTAGCGCATAGAGCTCTGGAATTTTTCATGAAGCACGAAGGGAATGTTAATTATAGACAGGTAGGAAGCATATTATTACTTAATTATGTATGCTTTTCTTCTGAGTGTTTTTTTGTCTGTCTTTTTGCCTTTCTTTATTACTTATGCTCAGTAATATGTAACTACTGTGCCTAGATTGTATTTTTACCTTGTTTTGTTGAAAATCATTTGACTCCTCCTGACTACTGTTGCAAATATGCAGTAATTCTAATAATGTGTATATACTGTGTGTGGTTTCTCGCATTTTTCCCATCATCTTAAGTCATACCCGCCATGGGTAGTTGTATTAGAAGAATCAGTAGAGGGCTTTTGGAAAGGAGACTTAGTAAACATAAAGATAGCAAAATGACAGCAAGGTTTAAAATTTAGTCCACCACATATGTCATTTAACTGATTTCTAATTGGTGCAAATAGCTTTTTCTTTCATGGGCTGTATCCAGCAGAGCACTGAAAGCATGTGGACAGTTTTCATAAACACATGAACAAAACACACATGTTTTGTGTTTAAAACATTTTTAATATCCTTTAGTACAATGTAAAGAACACCATTTTATATAATCTGATCTTTTATCAAAGTAGGAGATTGCTCAAGGGAAGTATTCACATTGTCTGCTGTAGACAGCTATGCTGTGATCCAGAGGATGGAAGATAGAAGATCAGGCTTTGTGTCTAGTCCAAGAGGAGGAGGGCACCTTCAGAAGGTGACTTCACCAGTACCTAAATTAGATCATGCTTTCCTAAATGGCCTTTCAAATTACAGTGTATACTGATTAGTTTAGTTCTGCTTACAAGTATTTTGGAAAGGGGGGAGCAGGGCAGGATGATGGGGGATGGTGATGACACTGAAATAATTGTATCTTGTTGGATATTTAAATTTTAATTTTCAATATTGGCAGTGAACTGGGGGTTTGTGCTGTGCAATAGCATTCTGATTCCTTTGTTCCCCATCCTTTTCCCAGTTATTACTAAACCACCAAGATGCATTTCAGGCTGGGAGCATTTATCCTGATGCCTTTTATCCTTCAATCTGCAAACATGGTAAGAAAAGCTTTATAAGTCCAGTATTGTAACAACTCTATTTTTATATGAAAATCCTACAGAATTTAGTAGGGTTGAAAGCAGTTATACTGTAAGAAATGAAGTATGGCCAAAAATACCTTCCTGCAAATACATCCACCATTTGTGTTAGTATTTTGAGCCTTTTTGTAGAACTATATAAGAAAATAATACATTTTAAAATGTTTTAAGAAAGTAACTTTGGGGTAAATTTAACTATTTAATGTGTAGAGCAATTTGATAGAAGGATGCTGTTTGACTAAATTAGGTCAGATGACTTGAGTACTGTCTTAGGGAGAAATTGAGAGGACAAAATGATCTTTTTTTCTAAGTCTTACGGAAAGCCTAGAGCTAATTTCCATATTAAAGAAGTATTAGTTTCTATCAGATCAGTCACAAAGATGATAGAGAATATAAAAAGCTCACAAAACCAAAATAGTGTAGGACTTGCTGGACCGGGGTGAGGGAGGGGAGTGTAACATTCCAGTTTAAAGCCTTTCTTTTCCAGACTGCTGCTGTCTTATGCCTTTTCCTGTTTGAAATTAATGTCAGTCTTAGTTTTGGTGCTTGCAGAGCTAAAGACTGCACTACAAAATTAGCACCCTGTTGCAGTGGCCTGTAAAGAGTATGTCTTGATTTGCAGCTGGTTCCCTGATTTTTCAGCTCTGGTAGGTCAACTCTTGATCATAATCAGCTTCTCCAGCAACACCAGAGCTATAAAATAGCCAACTAGAGCTTGCTCCAGGATATTTGCTACTGAAGTGATAAATCTGGATAGTGAGCAATTAGCAAATGGGACAAAACCAGCCTGTCCTCTGACAAACAAGCTATTAGGATGTTTGGGCAGATACCAGAGACAAGGCAGTGATACGTCATTTGTGTGAGGATATCTGGCCACTTGATTGTTGAGATCTTACTGAAAGTCTGAGTATGGGAGGTGGTTTATTTTAGCAGGTCATGCAAATTCAGATCCATTAAATTAAAAATGTTCTTAGGATCTTTGTTTGGTTTGCCTCATCTTTCACATGTTTTTCAGCTGAGTGCCAGTGCCTCCACTTATCTCAGTATTTGTTTTTCCTGCCTCAAACTGCAAAATCCTTGTTTGTCTTTCCAAGGACACTTTCCCCATCTTTTCTCATCACCTGCTCTACCTAGAGTCTTAAATCACACAGTGGAAGCTAGACGTCTCATTGTTTCTCTGTTGTAGGTTGTTGATTCTGACTGTTGTTTATGCCAACTACAGGCTGCTTGGTTTATATCCTGATAGGCAGGTTGCCCTATCCAGGTTGCCCAACAGGGGATCGTCTCTGTTGTGTCGGGGTGCTCAGTTCACATCCAGATTGCGCCTCTGCTCTGGCATTCAGTACTGGTTTTGTCTCCTGTCACTTTACCAGGTCACTGTTTCTGCTCTTCTGCCTGGCTGTGCTAACATCTTGTTCCAAACTTCAGTCTCGGTTGCCTTGTTTTCAGGACTGATGTTCTCCTGGGATTTCTTCAATTCCTACCTGTCCTGGTTTTGGCTGGGATAGAGTTAATTTTCTTCCTAGTAGCAGGCATAGTGCTGCGTTTTGGATTTAGTAGGAGAAGAATGCTGATAACACACTGATGTTTTAGTTGTTGCTAAGTACTGCTTATGCTAGTCAAGGACTTTTCAGCTTCCCATGCTCTGCCAGGTGCACAAGAAAACTGGGAGGGGGCACAGCCAGAATAGTTGATCCAAACTGCCCAAAGGGCTATTCCATACCATATGATGT